AATAGAAAAACTGAGGGAAGAGGATTGCTTGAGCTCAAGTTGGATATTGCTGTGAGCTGTGACACCACAGCACACTACCTAGGGCAACAGCTTGACAGCATTCATTTTAAAAAAAAAAAAAAAAAAAAAGAAGAAGAAGAAGAAAAAAGAAATCATCGAAATACATGTAAGATAGGAAAAAAATATTTGATCTTTATAATTTGTCACAAAAACCAAATTATATAAAAAGAACACACTGGATCCAACAACTTACTACTTTATACAAAATGAAACATTTTATAATATCGGCTACTCTTTGTATACAAGGCATTTTACAGTTTTTGACCAGGGCCAGGTTTGAACCTGCCACCTCCAGTATTTGGGACAGGCGCCCTACTCCTTTGAGCCACAGGCGCTGCCCAACAAGGTATTTTATAATTTGAAACACGTAACAGTAATCTGTTGGCATACTGTTTGAAAACTAGCAAAATAAAATATTCAATAACTGTCTTCCTCAGACTAAAAGGATCAGTTTGAAGAATAAGTGATAACACTTCAGAAACACGTATATTACAAGGCCTAATTATTATCACAAAACAAGACCACTAAAAATTATAGAGAAACATTTAGATCAGTCATGTCACTGTATTTTATGATTCATTTTTAAAATGACAAACCTGTATAATACAGAAACAACAAAAATAAAGTTCAAGAAATATAAGCTAAGGAAATTTGTTAATCTTACAATTATAGGAAAACAATTTTAGAATACTTTAAAAAACTGAAACTCTTAAGTATTATCTTCAAACATGGAGTAACAGATTAATACTTAAATTATATTAGCATATAAATGCTTTAAATCATGACATTTTACTCTTTCCCAGGACTATACACTTGTCACCAATAAACTAGAGCTGTATAGATACTTGTACACAGTTGTTTCAGTGTATCAAAGTTCTTCCTTGAGTCTATTTTACCCAATTAATGACCCCAAATTGAATTATCTGTTTTCATGTATTAATAGGTAAAATGTATTAGTAACTATTATACAACAGATCTTGTCACAGACCTTAAACATTTGCTTTTGCTGATTAAACCTTTATATTTTCTAAGTTCAAATGTATTTAAAAGTCCTTATGTATACATTGTTTTAACATCAAAACAAATAATAAAAATTAAATTCAACAAAATCATAAGATAATTCTATTAACTATGTTAAAAAAAAAAGTCCACATCTTACTCATTACCATGCTAGTAATTAAGACAGAGAAATGATAAAGACACAAAGAGATGCTAAAATTGAATTCCAATCTCGTACCAAATAACTTAGACTGAAAACTTTTATAACTATTTTCTCAAAAACAGAATATGAACCAACATAGTAACCACTTGAAAATGAGTTAAAATGAATTAAATGCTACTTATAAAGACAAGCTTAAATAATGGATAGTGTTCAGTAAATTGATGCAGAAAATTCAAGTGACCTGCTCAAATCCATTGGGTTACAGAAAAAAAAAAAAAAAATACCTGAACATTTTCAACTCCCTTACGCCTGTCTGACTGAGGTCTTTAACAATCCAGTCATAATCACACCTAGGTAAAAAACAAAACCTCATCTTTTCTCTAAGCACTGAAAATTTTCCTATAGCACATGAGTTTTCAGCCAATCTAATTGCCACTCACCAGAGAATAAATACATACTGGCAAGGGTAAAGGCAAATGAAATAAAAGTGCCAGGGGAAGGGGAAGAGGGTCAGAGAAAGGGAGGAGAAAGGAAGCTCTACTCTTCTGGAGATATTTGCGACATTTACGAGGTCTTCCTGGCTGGCTGTCTCATGGCACTGTCCCTCAACCTAGTTCTGGAAAACTTTCAGTTCTGGTCCAGACACCCTAATGATTCTCACCTTGATGGTCATGGCCTGGGACGGAGGATGAGTGAGAGCACCCACTCCCAACAAGCCAACTGGGAACTCTGAATGTTTTTGCAGTAAAACTTTGCTAAAGTGACTGTATTCTAAACTGTACTTCTCCTTTTTAAGGCCTTACCACTTTGAAAATAAGACAAGTCACACACACACAAAAATAAGACACATAAAAGCTTTCTAAATGTTACGTAATTTCAGAGTTGATGGATCTCAGCATAAAAACCCCTACTCCATAGCATTATCAATGTAAATTTTAGCAAGATTATACATCAAATACACTTTCCCTGCCAGCCCAAGGACCAAATCCTCTGCAATATTTCTTCTAAGTGTAAGTACGAGTTCATAACAATGGTTTTATACAAATTTCTCAAAAACAATCCTATCACAAGATATACCAATGTATTTCTATTAAAATTTCTTCTGGATATATTATAAAGTAGCTGAATATTTTTTAAAAAGTTCTTTGTATAGTGACAGGTACCACCCTTGGGCTACAACTTAAGAGGCAGAATTACTAAACTACTATCCAGAAGTACAGAACCAGTAGTGGAAAAGTACTGCATCACAAGCACCTCTCCATCTGATCTCCAGAAAAGATACTTGCATGATGCTTAATGAATGGAATATTGCTACTATCAAAATGGTAGTAAAATAAAATTATCAAATAAAGGTTATTTATAACTTACTATAGAATGATATGGAATAAAAATTACAGCATAGAATTGTCTTAATTTTTTCTCATTTTATAGTGCATGGATTTTTGCTACAATTGAGCAATTTAGGACCAATAACAGTACTCAAGAACAGCCATTTTACATATACTAAGCACTTTCAAACAAAAACTACAGATAGGAATACTTACTTATCAAAGCTATCGCTATTTTTGATGAAGCTCTCCAATTTTTCCTTGGCATATTCCACCACATCTGAATGAAGCTCAATCCCATGATTTATTCCAAAAGGACCTGCAATTATAGCAGCATTTTTATGAAATACTTTTTTATTAAATCATAGCTGTATACATTAATGCAATCATGGGGTATAGTGTGGTGTTTCCATATACAATTTGAAATATTTTCATCAAACTGCTTGACTTAGCCTTCATGTCATTTACCTAGTTATTGTGTCCTGAAATTCCTTTATTAGGTATATATAATAATCCAGAAAACCAAAAATCACATTACGATAAAGATATTTGTATCAGAATGTTTATTGCAGCCCAATTCATAATTACTAGGTCATGGAAGACGCCCAAGTGCCCATTGATACACGAATGGATCAATAAATTGTAGTATATGTATACCGTGGAATACTACACAGCCATAAAGAAAGATGGAGACTTTACCTCCTTCATGTTTACATGAAATACATTAAGATGTGTCCTTACAGAGCTCTTTTAGTTTCTGCTCATTTATCTGTTACAAGAGCATTTAAAGAAGCCTTGAAATATGCAAACACTTCTGCCAGGGGACTTAAAAGCTGAATGGCAATCTATCCACATTGCTTTAATGTAAGAAAGGGAAAAAACAATGTAACAGTTCACTTGCATTTTCTACAAGAATATTATACATAAGGTTGAAACCTACAGAGTTCCCCAAGGGAGCAGCTTGATGGACACAGCTGAAAATAATAATCATATTTCCATATGAAATTTAAGTTCTTTACCACTATTTTCATTTATTATTTGCTTAAAATTTGTTAATTCTAAATTGTCTGAAATCTTGAGAGGTTCTCTCACACGGAGAATGTTGTATATATATGACTCAAAGAATCTGTACTCTCAGCCAGCAAACCCTAAATTCCTCAAGGGCCAAGATCACATCTGTGCTTTTCAAAGCTTCCAGTGGTCTAGCAAAACGTGGCTATCAGGCAGCAGAGAGGATCTGCCTCTCATCTTCCAGAACACTTCTCTTGATATTTCTTAACATGAGCATAGATGGGATAACCTCCTTGGAACTCTTTCAACAGGAGACAGCTTTCTCAACACCTAGGGATAATTTTGGGCTGGCACACATCCCCAGTATTGTACCAGCTCACTAAGAACAAGGACTCAGGTTCTTAAGGTGACTCTACTTCATGCTCCACACAGAACACTCTAGCTATTTTAGTTCCTTCTCTACTTACACAACTGAGCCAACTAAGTTTTCCAATTAACATTTTTGTTTTACTATATTTTGAGATTGGTCTCTTAAGAAAAAGATTGTGTTATTTATTTTCAATTTCTTTAGGAAATGCTTAACTGGATGTGCCTTCCACTAAATGTCTAAAAATATAGTACATATTAGGCCAGGCACAGTAGCTCATACCTGTAATCCTAGCACTCTGGGAGTCTGTGTTGGGTGGATTGCTTGAGTGCAGGAGTTTGAGACCAGCCTGAGCCAGAGCAAGACCCCCACCCCATCTCAAAAAAAAAAAAAAAAA